CCCCCCGCGCCCCCCCCCCCCCCCCCCATCTCATCTGCCACACCTTGATGGATTATAAATGAATACAAAGGGAGAATGCCCACAGACCATTGACTAGGCCCCAGTCGTACTGGGCCTCTGTAGTCCACTGTGCCCAGCTGGGCACCCAAAACCTTATGGTCTAGGTGCATGGCTCCAAACTTCCCCTATATCACACCCTATGCCTCACAGGCATTATCAATATATTTCCTATGTTGAGGCCTTGGCCTCTGCCCCTTTAATGTAGCTAGCTAGGCCTTCTAGCCTAGGCCCACTGAATAGCCCACTGGGCTATAACATAAATACCAACATGTAGCAGCCTTCCACTCCTTCAAAAGTATAAATCCTCATGTGACAGGAAGGAGGTCAGGGTCACCGCGCTCTCCCCTGTCGCCTCCTTTACCATGCCAAGCTGTCGTCTTGCACCCTCCAATTCTCGCCCGCCATGTCTTTGATCTTATATATTTTTATAGGGAGGCTGCCTTCTGTCCTCTTGGCCACGGTTCTCCTGTCGCGGTTGTACTGTGCACCCAAGGCTTATGGGCTGTGTGTGGCTCCTACCACCCCAATACCACACAACAAGCCTCGCAGATGTAATGGATGTTCTTCTGTCCCCCTCTCTCTCTCCGTGCCCTCTCTGGCACTCGGGCTCTCCGCAGTCCCCGTCTCTCTCCCTCTCTTTCCACACCCTTCTCTTGGGCCTTCGCAGTAACGCCGCCGTTCTCTCGGGCCTTTCAGTAAGGCTGCCCCCTCTGTGGGGCTCCACAGTAGTGCTGCGCCCTCTCCTGGGGCTCTCTGCACCCACACTGGGGCTTCCCAACAATGCTGCCCTCTCCTGGGGCTGCTCAACAATGCCGTCCCCTCCAGGGGCTCTCCGCGCCCACACCGGGGCTTCTCAGTAATGCTGCCCTCTCCAGGGGCTCTCCGCGCCCACACCGGGGCTTCTCAGTAATGCTGCCCTCTCCAGGGGCTCTCCGCGCCCACACCGGGGCTTCTCAGTAATGCTGCCCTCTCCAGGGGCTCTCCGCGCCCACACCGGGGCTTCTCAGTAATGCTGCCCTCTCCAGGGGCTCTCCGCGCCCACACCGGGGCTTCTCAGTAATGCTGCCCTCTCCAGGGGCTCTCCGCGCCCACACCGGGGCTTCTCAGTAATGCTGCCCTCTCCAGGGGCTCTCCGCGCCCACACCGGGGCTTCTCAGTAATGCTGCCCTCTCCAGGGGCTCTCCGCGCCCACACCGGGGCTTCTCAGTAATGCTGCCCTCTCCAGGGGCTCTCCGCGCCCACACCGGGGCTTCTCAGTAATGCTGCCCTCTCCAGGGGCTCTCCGCGCCCACACCGGGGCTTCTCAGTAATGCTGCCCTCTCCAGGGGCTCTCCGCGCCCACACCGGGGCTTCTCAGTAATGCTGCCCTCTCCAGGGGCTCTCCGCGCCCACACCGGGGCTTCTCAGTAATGCTGCCCTCTCCCGGGGCTCTCCGCACCCACACTGGGGCTGGGGTCCTCACACTCCGCTGTGAGTTCCCTATGAGGCCTCCTCCAATCCCTAATAGCCTCACGCAAGCCACCGGTAATAAACAGCAACACAAAATGCAAGCCTATCGGCTATAACTTAAATGGAAGCCACCCGGCCATAACAACAGTCCAGCCACCAGGGAATACTCCATCCCTCAGCAGTGCCAGGTGCTGCTCCTACATTCAGGCTTTTCCTCTCTTTCATGGCAGAGAGCTCCTCCGTCCTTGTCTGCTGGCAGTGAACTCCCCCTGGCCTCAGCTCCTTGGGTTTATAAGGGAGCCAGGCCCTGCCTCTTCTGGTCAGCTGACCTTCTCTGGGTGCCCTGGCAACCCACAGCTGGGCTCCTTATTCCCTGCTAGGGCTTTTTCCCCCGCAGTTTCCCCTCTTCAGGAGCAGGGCAACAGTGCCCTGCAACACCTCACAGCAGCATCCTGGGCTCTCTTGACTAAGAGGTCCTTTCTTGGTGACAGCTAAAAAGAGACTGCCGTACTGGCCCCAGCCCTGAGCTTATATGCTTCCCAGGTCCTGCCTGCATCCTGTCTTCCGACTGCTTGCAGGTGCTGGCTAATTAACCATTAGCCAATTGCCCTGGAGACCTGCAGCTGCTGTCCCCTGCCTGCAGAGCTCCATGGCTGGGCTGCTTTTCCTTTTTAAGTAAGAGAGAGCCTGGGGCTCTCCCTTACACTCTGCTGCTGGCTGTTGTATGACTTTGACGAAGTTACTTCCCTTGTCTGTGCTTTGTTTTCTCCAAAAGTACAATGAGTGTAATGATGGTTCCTCTTTGTGCATGTGTCAGCACAGATCACACTGCCCTTGTTGTACACAAACTTGGAGTCTTCTGACTAATCACATCTGTTGGAGCAACACACAAATCCTGTGTCTTCAAGGAGAAAGAACAATGCCTTTTTGAGATGATACCATCGGCATGTATCCATCTGCAGCTAAGTCAGACTTCAGATGGCGAGGCATCCAAGGGAGGGTCACAGTAATTTCACCCTTTGTGTCCTCTCACAGGATTTAGGTGCAGCGCAGTGATGTGGTCATATCCCACTTCAAATGTTAGTGGATACTCAGTGAATTCTCTGCTGATGAGAGCTGTCACCAGTTGCCACCCGCCTCTCCTCGTGGCACCGAATTGTCTGGCACGCTGCGTTTTTCAAAATCCAAGATCTGCTTGTGGATTCCAGGTATGAGGCACACATGCACCTGCAGGATCCGTGTGGACTTCAACATCTCAAAGAACCAGTTACAGAAGGCCAAGCAAATTCTCTTTTCCCCCTCTGCTAAGTGCTCTGAGATTTGTCAATGAAAAGCATGTTGTAAGAACAAGGTATCATAGCCCTGCACAAGAACAACTCCCAGCTAATGGAGATGGGGGCAGGGCTGAGAGAGGAGCTAATCATTAATTCCTTGGGCTCAATGTAGGCTTCATGATGATCTGAGGACCAAAACCACAGCTTGTCTACTTCTGCTATTGTAAAACCATAATATAACCTACACCAAAAATCCCCAGGAACACAGCTATCTTCAGACTCTGACCTATCTTTATAGCGTTCTTACATCTGAGGCTCCAGCCTGTGTTATCTACCTTATGGACTACAAAACTCAGTGCTACCAACCTAACCTCAGCACTTCTCCTCTCCTCCTCCTCCTCCGAGGCACCAAAGCTAGGTGTTTAGAAATAGCTGCTCCTCCTCCTTTCACTGTTTTACATACTTAAGTCACAGCTACTTCCTGAAATTAGACAAAGCAGTTTGCCAAACCCCAGGAAAAAGCTTCCATTTCAAGAATAGGCTGCATGGGTGGAGGGTGGAGGGTGACCATGCTGCATGCACCTTCTATGAGGAATTTTGGTTGAGTGTACTTGCTTCTCTATGGAAAGAAGGTGAGGAGGGGAAGAAGTGACTGCTGATGGAAAATGGTGAGTAATACATCGTGTCTGGCTGTGCACACCTGTGCTGTGCTGTATGCAGGGACCAGGTAGCAACCCTTCATAGCATTAGCCGAGAAGGATTGTCTCTGCTTCCGTTGCTTCAAACAGGTGACTGCTTCAGTTGGCAACGGAGGTGCAAAAAACATGCAGCGAGCATCACCCTTTGGACAATGTGATGTCTGTACTGCTGTGCATAATGAAATTCTGAAAAACCTCAAATTGTTTTTTAGGCTAAAATATGAACTAGATGCAGGATCCACTTTGTTCAGCATTGAAATGCAGCCACCTATAGGTGCACAGCTAGTTGAATAGCAGCACACAGTAATACTTCATGGCTTGCAGACAAGATGAGATATCTTCCAAGAATTGTGTCACAACTTACTGAGCTTGCTGCAGGAACCATGAGGGTATAATCGACTTGTGCAGGAGGTCAGACTAGAGTATCATGGTAATGCCCTCTGATTCCAAAGCAGTGAAAGAAAAGATTACTATATTTGAATGAAAACAAAAGCGAAGTTGGAATTGTGTCAGGACACATGGGCAGAAGGCAGGGTAGATTTGCACCTTATAGACTGACTATATCAGAGATGCACAGCATAAGCGCAGCAGGCTTACTTTGTAAGCCTGCTTCCTGTGAAAACTTATGCAATGCATCCACTGCAGTTAGTATGAGAAGCACGGATCTTCCCTTTCTGCCTGACTTCAGACTAACATTACACGACTACCTCTTTCTGCTCAAGGTGAAGCAGATTTTGTTCCTACCTAAACAGTTTCATCAAGGTTTTTATTAATGAAATAACAGCAAGATGTTTTCAAACATTTATATTCAAAAAGTCAGAAGTCTGGACAAAACAAAGTTAACTTTTGTAAATGTGGTAAAGAGTGCTTTATTACTCAATTGTTCAAAAGCCACTGGGTCTACTGAGTTTAACAGCCATGAGACAGGAAATGCTGGTCTCTGTCTCCATCTCTGCCTGCCTTTAGCAATACCCTTGCTGCAATCCTGTTCCAGCTGTGAAAGGAGGCTACACCCATGTGTGATCCCAATAGTATCAGCAGGAGCTGAGGAGTTCACACTTTCCTTAGGTGCCTGAATTTGAGCACCAAGGTTTAAAAAGATTTGCTTCAGCTTCTCTGCATCTTAGTTTTCTCATTTGTAAAATGAATACAATTCACAAGTACAAAATAAAACTGAAATCTGGGACCATAGTGGAACAGAGCATTAAGAGAAGAAAAATGATCAGGCTAATTAGCTATTTTGTAACAAAATGGAATTGGTATTTCATGGTCCACAGATGATAGCTTTTTGGGATATGGTCCATGTGATTAATGGTTAATGCACTTCTAAAAATCCAAATACACTGCTTCTGCTGCTCTTCTTACATACCTTGCTTTTGGTACAGAACTACCAAACCAATGTAGACCCTTTTTATTTACTGCCATTCTGTGGCTGTTTCCAACACAGATGTTTCTAGGACATTCAGACAACTTTTAAATGCTGCTCTAGAGGCTGTCTCCTCATTGGTGCAGAGATGCAGGTCTGACCTATTTCACAATGCAAGAGTAGCATAATGGGAAAGCCACAGGAAATACATGTGCACTCTTAAAAGGAGGGTAGACTCCACCCACACAAAGACAGCGACCTCCCATACCAGCCATGCAACTGGGACAGCTTCTAACTTTAGCAGCAGCACTTGCATGTAAGGCTGCAACTTCTGTATTGTCAGCTTATACCGTTAACCAAGACATTGCACCTGTGTATCAGGAAGTGGAATTTGTGTCAACCATGCCTTTTCAAAGAAAATTGCAAACGAGGCACAACCAAGTTTGTCCCAGTTAGCATTAGCATGCATGCCTATTGGGCTGTGGCTGTGAAAATGCACCTAGGAGCATTTAGAGCCCAAATCGTTTGTGCCGGAAATCACACTTGTAAAGGTCAGAGCAGCAACCTGCACCAACAGCGGTGCTTACCTCTCAGGCAAGCCAATACATGCAGCAGCCAATGTCATCTTCCAGAACTGGACACTCAATCTACACTGGGGCAAGTCTTCAAAGCTAGTGAGCCATTGTGCTACACGATGGTCACCGTTCTAACATTTCAGAGTCAAGAGGGGGCTTTGGTGTTCCATTTTTCTGGTCTTCCATGGAAATCAGGAGCAGCACGGAGCCCACTGCTGAGCCCCATGCAGGATATAGATGTTAACTCTAACTTTAGCCATATTGATATAAATATGGAGGAATACCAGGGCCAGGTGGTTCCCTCCTATTGAAAACACTTAGGAAGGAACAAAGGATAAAGAACTGAGAAAAATGAGTCTTGAAATTGACCCCATGTTGATTTCTCATGGTAATTTTGTCAAGGAGAGGGTAATTTTGCACCCACTCCCACCTCCAGAACAAGCAGGGTGTTCAATCCCATGGGCAGATCTAGTTGAAAAGGGTGGTGGAGATGGTGAGGTGCATCATCACATATGGAACAACACATATTTTTCTCTAGTTAAAACTAAACTAGGAACTTTACTAATACCCTAGGGGCCCAGGACTGTGTCATTCAGTTTAAGACTGAAGCAAAAAATGAATATAGCTTCATTGGAATGGGTTAAAAAAAACCTTAGGGCTGTGAAATAGGAGTTGTGTGACCAGGAGCAGCTAACAGACTGCAGAATTGCGGCATGAAGGCTTGCTTGATTGGCAGAACATCAAGACCATCAAAAAGAAGCGAGGGTCCTTAACACCTGTGCAATGAAGAGTTGAGAAGGGATCAAGCAGATGACAATGAGCCATGAAGTCAATTGACTCCCTCAGCACTTCCAGGCTAGAAATGCTGCCGCCGCTGCCAGACAGTTGGTTTTAAAGTTTGGGTGGAGCACGAATCAAAGGGGAGTGCTTTCAGATGCCATTGCCATCAGTACTGAGGTTCTGTACCACTTCTCAGGCTCCAGAGCTCTTTGGGGAAGGGCCTTTTTCACCTCTTGGCAATTAGGCAATACAAATAATAGACATTTATCAAGCAGAATAGGAAATGTGTGTGGTTCTAATTTCACTCCATGGACCTTTCTACCATAAATAACTAACACTGTCCTTAGTGTTATACAGACCTGTTTGGGAATTAACAATGTCTGTTCTCTTCCAGGAAGGAAAAGAGGGTGTTAGACATATAAGGTCAAAGTTTGAAGGGCACAGGCATGAAGTCTCTGAAAAGAGTGACAGGTCCATGCATCAGCCTGCAGCATCACCTGCAAAGGAGCAGAGAGATGCACTTCAAACTGGGTTCAAGACCAACCAATCACCTAAACTAGCAGAACCAAAAAGGATGGATTTAACAAATGCTTCCTTGTCTCAGAGTAGACTCCAAGGCCTGGGACAAAGATTACCAGATCATCGTTTTTTTGAAAAACCTGCATTGGTGCCCAAGTCAAAGAATGGGAAGGTAGTGGAATCCAGCTTGTACCCAGCCCGTCTGAAAACAGAAATGAAAGAAGCACCACCAAAACAGACGGCTGCAAGGGGCAACATAAACCTTCCTCAGAAAAGCCTGACTCAGCACAAATGGCCACCGATCCCATATTCTAAGAATGAAGGAGTAAGTTCGGGTACTTTGCAAACTCCTACCACAGGGACAGCTGTCCCAGCCCCAGTGGATACTCCACGGAGTGTAACTGAGAAAGACCTCGCAAAGGTTCCTAGGAAAAAGCCTCTCCCGCAAGCAAGACCACTGCAGTCGAAACCAGTCAAACCCAGTCGCCCTCCTGTAGTGGATCTAGAGAGGTTCAGGAAGGCCCGAGCACATGCTTCTGTACCAGAGCCACAGAGAGATGTGCGGCATGGTATGTACAGGACGTCTGTCACGTGACATTCCCATGCAGCCAGGGGAGAAAACTGTCCTAGAATGCATAGTTCTAGGAAGAAAGTGGTGCACAGTGCAGAGTTATGCATACTTGGTGCATAGTGCATAGCTGGTACAATGGTGCATAGTTCAGGAAGGAAATGGTGCTGAATTAAAACAGATGACTTCATGCTAGGTAGAAATGTTGAGGCTTTTAGGGAAAGGTGGGGCTATGGCTGTTTTAAACATAACAGGGTGGAAAAGAAGGAGCAACATTGATATAATAATTGAGGAGAGTGAGGAAGCTGAAGCAAACTCGGAAATGAGTGAAAGCTGACCTGCTTTCTTTGAAAAATACACAAAAAGAGAAGGGCTCTGACTATGTGGGAAGCAATAATGACCCCTCGAACCAGCTAGAAAGGGCCTCATACACCATTTATGTTAAGAAATTAGCTAACTCTGTAACTGTCAGCGCCATATCTGGAATGGGCTCCACTCCAGACAGTCCTTTATGACGTGGCTTCTAATACGTATGTGAAAGAATTGCAAATCTGAGTCACCAGGATCATCCAAATTGGGTCCAAGAAGGACTTGGTTTTTGTGCTCACCTTTGACACAAGCTATCTTTGCCACTAGATCATTGATCCAAGGTCTTGGCTCTCTTTTCAACACCCATTTGTTCCACAAGTTTGCAGGGGGTTTCTTCCCCCTCTTCTGAGCCTTTAAAAATGTCAGGCCCTTTACCTGGCTCATGCTGGAATAGCTCAACTTTGGGACCCATGTTAAACTGTTATTCTGTTTGTCTAAGGTGCCTGCTGTTGTGGTTCAGTGGTAGACTCCTTGTGTGCAACATGGGAAACCTGGGTTTGATTCCAGATGCACATATAACGACAACCATTGAGCTCCCAAACATCTGGACTTAGTCTGGCCTTTGGAGGCTGTCTCAATGGTTGGAAGGTCTGGGCATCCTCCTACCTAGGTGTACAGGTCAAAGATCCTGGTGTTGTCTCATGATCTCTTTGCAATCCAGAAGGATTGATGGTTGCCTACTTTATCTCAGGTCTTGACAGGGACTCCATTACTATATTTGAGTATCCTGCACTCATGAATTAGTGTTGTTGGTTGTAGCCATGTTGGTCTAAGGACATAAGCAGACAAGGTTCTTTGGATGGATGTAATATCTTTTATTAGACCAACTAAATACAGTAGTTGGAAAAAATGTTCTTTGCAAACTTTCAGGCACAAACACCCTATGCCTGAAGAAGGGCATTTGCGCCCAAAAGCTTGCAAAGAACAATTTTTCCAACTACTGTATTTAGTTGGTCTAATAAAATATCACATTTACCCAAAGAATCTTGTCTGCCTGCACTCATGAATGTAGTTAGGTTTATAGCATCTGGGTGAGGCTGAGAAATGCTATTCCTTAATACATTCATTCTCTTTGTCCAGATGTGAAACTGGGACCAGAGACTTGAGTGATATGCCTGAGGTCACACAAGGAACAGCTCTCATGAGTGCTAGAGCAGAGTCTTAATTACTAAACTGCTCTGCTTCATCAAGCAAGAGCTCCGGTCCACAACATAAATCATCATAGTCAGAAGGGCTCTTCTCATCCATCAGTGATGCTGGACTCCTTGGGTGTTTTCAGTCTGAGATGCCTTAAGGATAGGTTATTCCTTGTTCACTGTAATTAGACCAATCTCCTCACAGGTTTCAGCTGAAAGAACTGGCCTTTTGTAACCCTTTTACTATTTTGAAGGGAGGCTTTTGTCATCTTTAATCTTAAAGTGCAGTTCAATTAGCGGAGATAATTCTTCAGATAAGAATTATCCTGTAATTTTAGCTTGGCTCCACTCGTCGTAAAGCTAGATTTCCGTCCTGTCTTGCTCTATAGTAAGGGGTGCATTTATTAGGTTTCATGTAGAGTCCAACCTCTCCCCTCCCCTTCTGTGGGTCAGACCATATTTTCCTGTGGTTTTAACATCCGTGCCACTGAAAATAAAATGGTCTAATATCAGATGCACTGGCATTATTCAAATGGACCTCGTGTGCTACCTTTGCGGTATACAGGCTTCTGTAGGCTTACGCTCTCTCGCTCTCCCCAACTCTGTCCTCACACACGGTAATGACTCACAATAGTCTTTGCACTGGAGTCTTTTCTTACTGTGTCTTTTCCTTTCAGTTTAGATGTTCATTTTTAGGCCAACATGAAGCAAATCTGGCTTCTGCTGTTTTCACAACTCAGCCCCAGAGTGGTCTCCAAGGCCATGCTGCTTCCTATCACTTGCCCAAATACATCTGTGAGCTGTGCACCCTGCTGATACCAATTCTGACAGTCCCTGGCCTCTCACAATAAGCACATTCATATTGAGCATTAATAGATAGATGGCTGGGGGTGCATCTCCAGTGTTTCGGGGTCTTCTTTATCTGTGACAAGATAGCAGGCGATACTGGTAACTGTGAGCAGTCTTTTCACAACAACCCATTCCTTAGGATCTTCCTTTCCCAGGTCACTTGCAACTTGGTAGTCTGCCCGTAGTGGCTGAAGAAATGCCTGGTTAGCAATCACATTCCTAAACACTTTAAGACGATGGGAATTGATTTTCCTTGCTTTGTATTTCACTTAAGCTTTCTTATAGCAAATCCAGCCCCCTTTGCCTTCCGGGGATCTTTCATATGGAGGATAATCCTCTTTTCTTGATTCGCAGAGTGTATAAGCTTGGAGTTTTTAAACCAGCAAAACCCACCTGGCTGATCTGATCATGTATCAGCAAAGCCTTTTACACAACAGTGGCACAGAAAACAGTGGCTGATCTAACTAACAGCGTCCTGGATGTGCCACTAGGTGCTCCTGACATTGGGACTCTGTTCTCTGTGGCTTGTGTAGCCCTAGCTCAGCAGCAGGACAGGGAAGAGCAAGTCATTCTGGAAGCTGGGGGTCTAGGTGTGGGGAGGTGCTGAGCAGGGGAGGAGTTACCACTCCACAGGCCAGAATGTAGGAAGGGAATCAATGAATGGCATGAACGGATGATCTGGACACTAGATGGAATTAAGATTTAACAACAACCCTGCCTGAAATTAGAAGAATTGATTCCTTATGATGTTTCTGCTAGAGCTCTGTTGTAGGCTCTTTAACCCTTAAGTGCTGGGGTTGTGTCTGCCAATCCAAGAAGGATGCCAGCAGGAGAGTGGATCCCTGTTTCTTTTCTTTCTGAGAGATGCAAGTCTTAATTGCTATCCAGTAGTGCAGTCCCCATTTTACTTCTGTGAACTGGTGTAATAGAGCAAGGAAGTCCATAAGAGAGAAAAACTCACCACCATAAAAAGTAAAAAAGTACCCATATGATCATGCTGTTTAGATACTATTGATCATTTGCTGGGCATCTCTGCTTCTGGACTGCAAAGTCTGTTGTTCTTTGGTCCTGATGGACAACTTGAGTTATTCAGGCATTATTATACTTTTTGTCAGTGCTCTAATACTGTACCATGATGAGGGGCACTATAGAAAAAAGTGAAGAAAGGAAACAGGAAAAAGTGATCTGTTGGAATTTCTTTGTTTAGTACTCTATTTTTTAATATGCTTAACATTTATGTACTTATGTATAGGAGAATGGAAAATTGGTGACTGCTATGTCCAGGCTATTCGGGTTCCACACTCCCAGCAGCTCCTCCTCACCTCTTCTCATATCACTGATGGAAGCCTGCAGTATATGAAGTGAAGATATAGGGACTGTTTTTGGTTACTACACGCTGAAGGGCTAAAATACAATGAGAACAGGAGATTCCCTGCTTTCATTTCAAAACTTTACTTCAACTTTATAACCCATATGGTTGTTGAAGAAAGATTGAACAAGCCATCAGAATGTTACCTAAAAAGAGCACCAAGATTTTGGAGGGAGCTGACTCATGCTTTTGCATTAGCTTCGCCATCCTGACATTAGCTTGTAATTCCTGATGCTGGGAAAAGTATGTCTAAGGGCCCCATATCCAATCGTGGTTCCAGCTGCAGTTGAATGGATACTGAACCTAACAATGGATGAGTGGGCTGGAAGTAATTTGTTAATTGGGATTAACTCAGACTCTTGCAACACCAAGGATATTTGCATTTGCTGTCAGTAAGTTTTTCTCTTTTCTGAGGGAGGTAGTTAGTTGTGTGAGTCCAAAGCCAGGCAAAAGGCAGAGTACATTTGCACCTTATAGACCAGGGCTGTCCAGCTGGTGGCCCACAAGGGGTTAAAATGTAACTACTCTCCAACTCCAGGCTTCTGCCCAGCGGCCACTGCCCCATCACTGCCCATCACATCTCTGGGCTCTTCCTTCCTCCACCAGCTGCTAGTTCCTATACCTGATCCAGGGAAGCAGGCAGCAAGAGCCTGGGGTATGCAGTATAGCAGGGAATGAGTGGGCAGGTTGGGGAGGCCACAGGCATGGGGGGGAGCTGAGCATGCAGTACTGCAGTGCAGGGGTCACAGGCATACAGTGCAGCAGTGGGGGATGGTTTGTGGGTGCGCAGTGCAGCAGTGGGGGGCATCTGTGGAGTGTATAGCCTGGTGGGGTATAGGTTGCCTTGGTGTGCGGCCCATGCCCTGCTTGGAAATTAGACAACACTAAATCAAAGATACATAAGCTTTTGTTATCAGGAGCTTAGTTCATCAGATGCTAAGAGGCTACTCTGATTTAGTTAGTCTGTAAAGTGCAAATCTCTGCCTTCTGCCTTGCTTTTCTGAGCCAAAGAATGTCATTGTAGTTCATCAGAGACATTGAATCACAGGAAAATAGGGCTGGAAGGGAACTCTGGAGGTCATCTATTCCAATCCCCTGTTTGAGGCAGGGTCATCCCTATCCAAACCATCTCATATAAGTCCTTGTCTGTCTTATTCCTAAAAATACAGAGCCCTATTGCATGATTATAAGGCATATTGCCTAGGGACACCAAAAGCATCCTGACCTGCCACAGGTAAAGCAGGAGGACAACAGTGATCAGTGTCCTGTTGCTGCAAGAGTTGCTAAAATGCACTGGAGAGATTTTTTTGGACAAAATAACTCTTGCGAGTTGTGACAGAGATATGAGCCAGGTAATAAGAGCAATAAAAATAATCATGATGATGATGATGGTGAGCCAGCCAGGTGATTAATGAGACAGCAAATGAATGAGCAAGAGAGCACATGCCATTGCAGTAGCTATATGAGACTATGGTGAAGTTCTTTGTTCACATTGAGCCTGTCTTAGTGTGATGGCTTGGGATTTATATCACAGCACATAATACCATATGAGGCACATCCCCCATGCCAGGTTTCATTTTTTTCCCCAGCTGCCAAGGCCTGTACTTGCCCCAGTACTTGCCCTGGCTGACGTCTTCAGACAGGACAGTCAGGTGTGGAATCTCAGGGCAGGTCCCGAGGAGAGGGCTGCATTTTCCCCTATCGAGTCCAGAAAATTGGTTTAAAGTAATCAGTGATCTGACTTTCCCTCTTCCCCATCATCCTCCACCTTCGCTATAGGTTACTCGAAGCCAGATCCTGCTTCCTTTGTACGAGTTCCACCTAAAGCTGCTCCATTTCCTCACGCCTCAAGTTTAGCAGGGTAAGTTCTGACTTGCCAATTCTTTCCTTTTTTCCTTTGCATCTCCAGGTACAAGATGGCTTGCTGCCTACCACAGACTAGGGTGAGGCACACAGGCCAGCATTTTTCAGCTGCTTTTTTTTTTAGATGCCCATCTTTGGTTGGATTCACCATTGTGCTGCACCTTGTGCAGCTGCCCTTCTGATGCACTGTCCTTCTGATCTCCTTTGCACTAGTTTAAATAAGTGTGCATGGTGCAGAGCAGAAGGGAAACGGGCCTTTTGGTTGTGATTCCTTCTCAGTGCTGAGCACTTCAAACTCCAAATTAAGTAGCAATCTTCCACTTAATAGCAGCCTTCAACTACCTAAAAGAGGGGTTCGAAAGAGGATGGAGCTAGACTGTTCTCAGTGGTGGCAGATGACAGAGCAAGGAGCAATGGTCTCAAGTTGCAGCAAGGAAAGTTTAGGTTAAACATTAGGAAACATTTTCTCACTAGGAGAGTAGTAAAACACTGGGACAGGTTACCCAGAGAGGTGGTGGAAGCTCCATCCTTGGAGGTTTTCAAAACCAGGCTAGACAAAGCTTTGGCTGGGATGATCTAGCTGGGGCTGGTCCTGCTCCGAGTAGGGGGTTGGACTAGATGTGACCTCCTGAGGTCCCTTCCAACCCTCACTTTCTATGATTCATGGGAGGGCCAGTGTGTCTGTATCCAGCCTACAGTGTCCCACATAGCAGACCAAATAATTTACATACTAATCATCTTTTATCTCTCAGTGTAGTCAAGGCACCGGTCCACAGCACAGCGTACAGCTGGTTGCGGTGCACTGCCGTAGGCGAGGTGCATGCTGGCCAGAGCTTTGTAGAATACACTGCACAATGACACCGCCACATGCAGTGCAAGGCCACCGTCTCATTAGCACATTATGGCATAAACTATTCCTGTTCAGACGGATGTCTGCTCTCAGCTCTGATACACTCCTCTCCCCTTCTACTCCCCGCTCTTGTATCATTGGCTTTTGACCGTATGTTAAAAACTATTCTCAGACTGCAGTTGTAGCCTCCACAGCTCAGCTTTCTTATCTCAATTTTCCCCATGCCTTAGAGAACAAGATGAGATATATGATGATGTGGAAACAGTTGGACCAGTCAACAAAGGCAAACAGCTCCTATTACTCCCTGCTTCCCAGCCCGCAGCCTCTTTCCATTCTGGACAAGGTAAGTATGGAGCGGGCTATAATATTTATTAGTCAGCACAGAATATAATGGCAGCTCCAACCTCCGAATGCAGCTGCTGAGAGCCTGCCACCATTTCAGCTTCACTCTGAAAAGGGATTGTGTGAACCTGACCCTGTGCCCATTGGAGAACTATGGGGATGCCCTATGTAGCCCTGAGCCCCTGAAAATCCTCCCAGGTGCTCACACGGCTTGGACCTCCAAAGGTTTTCTGAGAGCCCAGCCTCCATAGAGGGGCCCAAATAGAGAGCTTTGGGTAGAGCGGGTGGAGACTGCCCCATTCCCTGCTGCCCGTTGGGCTTCTGCAGCACCTGTGCATGGCATGGAGAAAGCACCTGACAACCAGTCCCCTTCTCCTGGCCACTTCTGAGGCTCTTCTGAGAATATAGTAACCAGAGAGGTCATTGCCTTGTCTTGGCAGTGTCTGAAACCCATGACAGGGTCACAGAAGTGTCCTGCATGATTTGGGGTAGATGTAAGGGGCGGTAACATGCAGGCCTCATTTACACGGGAAAGCTGTATAGCACCGCGTTTATAGTTAGACTGGTACAAACCCTGCATGGGCCGACTTATGCTGATATAAGGATGGCTTTTCCAGCCTAACTGAAGCTTTCCTAAGTGACACAAGCAACATTGTAAAAAAGCCCTCTTATGCTGGAATAAGAATAGGGACGATCTGGTTTAACTCGATCTGCTTCAGTTCTTTCTTATACTGGAAACCCTTACTTGTAGCCCAGGGTAACAGGAGCAAGTGGAGAGCACCGTGTCCTATGGCAGTGAGGTCTGGAAATCCCAGGAGCCAGCTGCAGAAGCGAGCTCTAAGCACCATCCCCAACAAAAGGCAGTAGGACAGGATAAAATTTGAGGTGCATATCAAGAGGTCCTTGCTGACAACAGGGTGGATCTAGCTGGGGAGTCATTGCCTCACAGGGAACTCCCTTATAAAAACTAAATTACTAAGACATAGAGGAATATACTTTGGGCCTGGACCCCTGGGTGGCAGAAGTAGGACCCAGCCTCAACCTCTGAGCTCCCAGGAGCTCTTCTAAGTGGGTCTCAGCAGGTGGTTTTGGCATACCAGCTTCACGTGGACTCTTCTTCTGGCATCTAATTATGCAGGTGGAAGGACTGGTCTGACCCCTGGCAGATTTCCTCCAGACTTCGCCACACTGAGGTAATACATGGGTTTATTAAGTCTGAGAGACTCGCTTTTCTAAGCTCTGTGCTCCACATCAGGACTCTCCCGGATTAGTTACAGTGTCCTGCAAGGGCACCTTTGTGCCCAACACTAGTAGGGAATGAATTGGGAAACTTCGGGAGCTGGAAGTTCCCTTCTACAATGGGTTTCTCATTTTGAGGAAAGTATTCAGGTTGGTTTTGGTTCAGTTTCTAAAAAAAAATCTTGTTGGTCTAATAGAAGATATCATCTCTACTACGAATCCTGATTGTCATTTTGAGGAAGGCAGATTCATATCCTCTTAGATCAGGTGGGGAAGGGGGAGGGCTGTCACTCACTGTCACTAATAGGTTATACTTCCTTCAAAACACACACAATTGTGTCTGAGTGGGGTTTGCAGGCACGCTTGGTGTTAGCCTAGCTGCTCCCAGGTAGTTTCAAGGTTAAACTCTCTGACCTCAAGTGAAGCAAAACTAAGATGAGGCAGTACTCGTTTGCAAATCCTTAGCCACCACTGGCAAAGATCCTGTGCCCAGAGCTATGTAATCTATGACAAGAAGTACCCCAACAGTTGTGGTAAGAGCTCTGGGCAGAAAGGCTGTTCTGTGGCAGGATCATTTGCCTTTAACAGTAGAAGGGTTTCATTGAATCAAAGATGAGTATGTCAGTGAATGATGCAGGCAGGGCAGCAGCCCCAGATGATTTATGTAGCTGATTATTTGATCCTCTCCTGCTTTTTTCAGTGGGCTGCCAATGCTTTTAGAGTCTCAGGGTTAGCAGGAACCTCAAAGATCATCTGGTTCAACGCCCTGCACCATGCAGGAATGGTACCAGAGGTTTTGCAGCTGGAGAGAAGATGTGCAACGAGCACATTAGCAGGGCATTTTTAGTTTCTGTGTTAAGCCTCCACACATTGCATCTTGTATTAGGCTGCACACATTTGGGGGCTGGACCCATCTTTTTGTTTTGTACAAACAACTGTGATTTGGTTTATAATGTAACTTCAGCTTACAGCGCAGACTTCCATGGCTGGAACAGGTTCCTCAGCAAATTCCACACCTGTGCAACTGCACACCTTGCGTAGTCTTGCATAGAGACTTGCGGCCAGGGTAAGACATGGCACAAGGCTGAATTCCCCACTTGTGGTTTCAGAATTCAACTTATGGGATTAGTGCTCTGTGCTAAATATCCCCCATGTCTTTCTAAGAGACACTGTTTCTTATGCTCTGCATGTCTTTGTCTTAGTTTGGGCAGGTAGAAAGATAGCTCTGACTGGAGAAATGCAGTAGAGGAGAGATCAGAGGAATTTGTGGTGGATTTTTTCCTTTCTTTTGTTACCTGTGCCAGCTAAATGGAAGCTAGTGGGGATGTGCCTATATCTATATCTATCCTCAAGAAGCTCAGTGTTTAGCTTAACAAAGGCTTGATCACAGGCTGTAAGTAGGTACATGGGGAACAGAAGTGCAATAATAGATGGCCCTGAGCCTGGCAGAAAAGATATAGCGAGATACATTATGGCCAAGTTGAAACCAGACAGATTCCAGCCGGACATAAGGCACAGATTTTTAACAGCGTGGATAATTGATCTTGGGAACTTCTTACCAAGATCTGTGCCAGAGTCTCCATTGCTGGAAATATTGAAATTGAGATTGGATATTTTCTAAAAGACAAGTTGCAAACACTTTAGTTTGAGACTTAGCCCTTAGTCTGTTTGGAATCCACCTGGACCTGGATCTCTGGACCAAGAACAGCCCTAGGCTGACAGTGGGGCAGAAGGGAGACCTTCTCCAGTGCGTGTATTAGCCCAGGTGATTTAAAAGGAGCTGGACATCAGGTGGTAAGGTTACCGGGTCACCTGAACCTCAGGGTTATTGTAACTTGTAATTACTTTGCAGAAAATCCCATATTTCAAAACAAAGAAGGGAAAATGTGAAGAATCTCAAAGACTACAAGAAAGAAGAGAAAGCAGATAGGGAATTTCAGAAGAAATTCAAGGTGAGTGGGGTTGGGTTGGCTGTAACAGCATTCTCCCATGATATGCAGCCATTCATTTTCCTGTAGGAGTGTAATACAAAGCTGGAGAGAGACTTACTCTATAAAAAGTGTTCAACAGAAATGCAGGAACAAATCCCTATTAGCTTAGAAGTAATTATCCTAGGTTTAGCCCCTCCCCACCCCCCATTACAAGACATGATCCAGCACATAGAAGACACAGTGGGTAATCACAGAAATCAGTAGGTAATAGTCTCTGGCCTGGGCTATACACAAAGCCAAAGCTGATCATAAAAGGCCTCTTCCGGCCTCAGATACCTGGTATCCGACCATCTCACAATTCAGTAAGACACAGAGAGATGCAAATCATTCTTATAAATCCCTTAATGCAGGGGTGGGCAAAATGCAGCCCATGGGCCGGATGTGGCCCACCAGGCCATTCTATCTGGCCCACGGGGCCCCGAAGAAATTTAGAAAGTTAATATTTATCTACCCCTGGCTGCCTGTCATGTGGCCCTCGATGGCTTGCCAAAACTCAGTAAGCGGCCCTCCACCAGAAATAATTGCCCGTCCCTGCCTTAATGGGACTTAAGCAGAAATGAGGCATGTAATCAAAAAGACCAGTCCCTCTCTGTGGTCTGAAAAGTTCATGAGGCACCAGGATGGAAGCACATACTCAGAAGCTAGTATCAAGATCATGTGCAGAGGTGAACATCTCCTCTTGAAGTCCTTTTGGAGTCCACACTAGAGCTTGGAAATGCCTAAAATCTGCTTAAGTTCCCATTCTTTTTGCATCTACAGAGGACAGATCACCTCATTGACACTAACAACTGCACGGACTTCAATACAAAGCACAGTGCATGTGACCCACTTTTGCTTTAAAAAAAAATCCCTCTTCCCCACCAGGCAGCCAGCAGCGTGGGATTCAGGGGGGCAGAAGGAGAACAAACAAGAGGAAACATGACCCTGTAACTCAGTGATGAGGGCACTACCCTGGGAGGAGAAAGTCCTGGGTTCTGGTCACTGCTCTCAGAGTGCAAGACAGCAACACCTTTGCTGGGACAAGGTCCTAGAGGACCTTAGAGGGTTTTATAGTCCTCCCATCGAGAATTTGTAGCTCCCATTGTTTCCCCCTCAAGTCACCAAGTTCCCCATTGCAAACTGCATGGGAAGGCCCAGGCTGAGCTGTGGCACTGGCTGGCATTTGGGCAGCTGCTGGGTGGTGCTGCAGCTCAGGCTTCTGCCTCTGAGTGCAGATCTGGGTTTGAATTCCCAGGGTCCTGACAAGACTGTTCAAAGGCTTTTCCTGTCATTGCAATCATTCATTTTCTGTGTGCCCTGCAGAGCTGGGCCAATTTCCAGAGGTGCCCTGCTTGGGTCAGAGCTCAGTGAGGCCCCAGTCTCCTCCTAGAGCATGTTTCACCATGCTACAGTACTTTGCTATCCCAGCAAGGATCTGAGCGTGGATATGTATCCTACACGATGTTGTGCCATGATTGAGTTCCCGCAAAGCCGACTCTATTGTTCACATCACAGTTCGAAGGAGAAATCCGAGTTTTGACACGGATGATGATCGATCCCGCTGTGACTGAGAAAAGAGGAGGAGGGAAGAATCTTCCAGTCAAACGAGGAGAAATTGTGGATGTCATTCAGTTTACAAGTCATGAGAAAATTATCTGCCGAAACAGCCAGTGGAAATGTAAGTCTGAAGTCCATCCAGTTCTGTATGTGGATGTGGATAACCTGGAGAGGGTCCAGAGAAGGGCCACCCGTATGGTTAAGGGCTTGCAGGCCAAGCCCTATGAGGAGAGACTGGGGCACCTGGACCTCTTCAGCCTCCGCAAGAGAAGGTTGAGAGGCGACCTTGTGGCTGCCTATAAGTTCCTCACGGGGGCACAGAAGGAAATTGGGGAGGTTTTACTCACCAAGGCGCCCCGGGGGGGTCACAAGAAATAACGGTCATAAGCTAGCAGAGAGCAGATTTAGACTGGACATTAGGAAGAACTTCTTCACAGTTCGAGTGCCCAGGGTCTGGAACGGGCTCCCAAGGGAGGGGGTGCTCTCCCCTACCCTGGGGGTCTTCAAGAGGAGGTTAGATGAGTATCTAGCTGGGGTCATCTAGACCCAGCCCTCTTTCCTGCCTATGCAGGGGGTCGGACTCGATGATCTATTGAGGTCCCTTCCGACCCTAACATCTATGAATCTATGCTCTAGTTGCCCATTGTACTTTCCTGCCCTAGTGCTCTGGAACCATGTACTGCTGCACTGTCTGTGCTGAGACAATAGTCGTTTTGCTGGGTTAAGCCCCCAGAGACCAGCTTACCTTATTCCTTCATTGCCTGGGTGAATGTAGGATTTATATTTGTATTAAATACCCTTTTCTATCTGTTCCAGATGGCTACATTCCCAGGGCAGTGCTGCTGCATCTGTGAGTACGGACGCTTTTTGCACTGGCTTTCTTTCCACTTAAAATCTGTTTCAAGCTTTTAAGATTATCCAAAATGCCTGGTAATGGACAACGACCTTGACTTAATGGACATCCTTGCACACAGTCAACTGGCAGCAGTCAGCATGACACCATTATTCCCAACTATAAACTAAACCAAGAGGGTAGGATAAATTGTGGAGGTGGGAGAGAGTGCTATACCAAAAATATATGATGAGAAACACTCATTAAGTAATCTGCATTAGTCTGAGGTTGTTAGGGTAGATGCTGCCCCACTCCTACCCTTTCTAGGTAATAAGGATGTGATGCTTTCACGGAGTTAAGATGACAGAAGAGGTTCTGGAACAAACTTATACAAGAACTTATCAAAGCTCATCAAAGAACAGCAAATTCCCCAGCTCTCTTCAGTGGCTTGAAGAATTACTTTTCTGTAACACAGACAGCAACATGGGCACCTATACACTTGCTCTAGGGTGGGGTGGGGTGCATTAGAGTGGCTCCCACAACCCTCTCTAATTAAAATACCTGCAGTGTCTCACGTATTCAGCGTCCCAGATTTCAAAATGGTAGTGGGGGTGCTTTAAGTTAAATGAGCTTTAGTTAAAGTGCCCCCACCACCAGTTTGAAATGCGGGGATGCTGAATACACAAGATGCTGCAGCACGCTGGAGCACTCCGATTCAAATGCTTCAGCAGACTTGATTAATCGATGGATTCTAATGAGAACGTGTCAGAGCGCATGTAAAACGTGTCCTGTGGCGATTAGAGACCCTCCCAAACAGAGAAACCTCACAGTGGCACTCTGCTACAATTCCCAGGGTCATATGGACAGAGCCTGGTAGATACCACGATCTGCAGCTTCTCAGCTCCTTGGTTGCCTTTGGGAGTGTGTCCATGACACAGTTTCTAGGCTGGAGGATTCCAAGCACTCCAATCCTGTAAAAACAGTGGCTCAAGGAGAACCACTTGACATAATTTATTTAGACTTGTGCAAAAGTCCTGCCAGTTAAGCTACTAAGGAAGGCAATGTGGTGAGAGAGGTAATGCACTCTCATAGATCAGAAATTGGCTAAGAGTGGAATCCAGTGATTGGTTTTCACCATAGGAAATACTGAAGAATGGGATAGTCCAAGGGCTGTATTAGGTCCTATGGAATTTCCTACATTTAGTCTGAATCATGAAGAAAGGGTGATCAACATGGGTAGGTGACACAGCACTACTTCGGTCAATCAAGACTAAATAAAAATGTAGGATTTGTAAGTGGACTGGTTGTTTAATATGGATAAGGAGAAGATCTGCAGTTATTTGAGAAAAAGTATGCACTCCTACACCAGGGTATAAGTCAGCCTTGACCTGATGAGGCTTGCACATCCCCTTTTGGGCCTGTTGTTCCATTATTATCTGTGTGACAAGGGGCACGCTAGGGGTTGAGTCCCATGCCAGGCTGCCCACCTGTCTCTGGGGCAATCCACCCCATCTCTTCTGCCACGACTTTGCTGTTCCCATAAATGGATGGCAAATGCGGGAGACTGCCCATTACATGCCCCAATGTCAGGGGGTGCTATCTGCAGCTCCAACCTCCCCTACATTGCAGCCCATGCCTCACAGATTGCATCTACATGTTGTAATCATACTCTGCACCACAACTGGTGCTCCCAGGGACTTTCACTCAACCTACCCATCTTACTTTCATCCCACACTCGGCCTCCTTACCATGAAGGACTTACCGGGGTCAGGACTCACCCCTAACCTTCTGGCTGAGCCCCCTACTCAGCCTCTAGCCCAAACTATGACCTCAGGCATCCACAACCATGCCCACACCTGCAATTCCTACTATACCCCCTCTCGGGCCTCTACACCACACCCCACCCGGGGGTCTTCTCTTCATGATCAACTATTCATGGGGCTGACCCTTGTGCTGCCCTGCAGGCTTACTCCTGGTTTGGCCTTACTCAACATACCCCTGGGACTGCCCTTCAGGCCTACTCCTCATTCAGCCCTACTCTGTGCAGGGCCATACAGTTATGCTCCCCACAATACCTCCTCTGGGGTCTCCAGGATCTCACATCCCTGCTGGGCTCAGGTGGCACTGTGCTTGCAATGCCTGGCCCCACTACTCCCACAGTTGCCTCCAAAGCCCACCCAAAGGCAGGAGCTGGGGTTAAGGCACCCCTCCTTATCTTTCACCAGGGAGGTAACTGACCTGGCATTTCCTGGGGACTCCCATGCCACCAGAAGCCCCATCAGGTCACACTTTCCCAACAGGGTGCAGTTTTAGGTCATGCCCAAGACCAAGAGCCTCCAGCTCCTACCTGCTATATAATCCATGCAGCTCAGCCAGGTAATGTTTCTGTCTTGGCTGCCAGCAGCAAACTGCTGCCTTTATATAGGCAGCCAGTGTTTTAAAATGGCTGCTGCAATCAAGCACCTGCTGGCTGCTTGACTCAGCCCTTAAAGTGGCAGGCACTGCAAGTGCCCTGCCATAATCTACTATTCTGGTTTCTTGTACCATCTTCTGAACCACTTGACAGTGCCATAATCTCACAATACCTGTCTTTTTCACTTCTAGGGATGCTGATATTTATGATGATGTTGACATTTGTGGTAGGTACAAAAATTCAACCCATTGCCTTCATTTTAAAGGGTAAAATACTTGTTATTTACTGTCTAGCCCAGCCTAACACTAACCTAACTCTGGCTTCCTTGGAGATGCTCAGCACTAGTCATGACCCTCTTCTACTCCCACCAGGGCTATAGCCATTAATTCCCCCATTTCTGCTGCTTGGTTATGGAGCAAGACCCCTTTCAGAATGCTTGAAGGATGCTCTTTGTTAAGAGAGCTCACAACCACCTAAAAGGCAGAGTTTTAATGTATATTTTCATCTTCATAGTTGATGGGATTTGAATATTGATTCTCAACATTTTTAGACTTGAGGCAGCCCTCTAACTTTTGTGAGCTGATAACACCCAATTTCAAAAACTAATTTATTTATTACAGTGCTTACCTCCTTTTGGAGGGGCCAGGCAGTGGGGTGGGGGGATTGGCCTAGCAGGGACAAGTCTAACCCTGAGCCTGCACTTAACCTACTTATCTCCTCATACCTTGCAACATCCTTCAAAGGAGCTGGTGGCACCCAAGGTGCCATGGCACCCTAGTGGAGAATCTCTGGTCCAGGTCTTGCTGGATCAAACATCAGGTCTGTTCTTGGACCCCTAACCTCCCCTTTCCAGGAGATGGTAGGTCCAAGCCTCTCCCCATGACTCCTTTTCTCCTCAGCAGCCAGGTGATAAATCCAGTCCCATCTCCTGGGGCCTATTCCTCTTCTCCCTTGTTCTAGGGGACAGCTGAGCATCTTTCTCCTTCCTCCTGCCTTAAGAAATTTACTTCTCATCAGTCCCTCTCCCTAGAGACATCTCTGTCTCTTTCTCCTCAGGGGTTTCTGAGCTCTCCACTGGTTTTGCCAACCTTATTTCCTCTTTCATTTGGTTTTCCGTCACTACCTATCTTCAGCTTGCTCCCTAAACCTGCCTCCCATGAATCCACAAAGGACACAAGAGCTCATGTTACTAGTGATATCCTGCTGTCTGAGCATCTTGCCCTTTCCTGGATAGTTATTTGGGGGGTTCAGCATAGTTGTGGACAGACCCAAAGGTATACTGTTTTCAAATGGGAGGTGGGATAACTTACTGCTGAATTAAGCAGATTTAAAGTGGCAGAGGTTTAGCCCCACTTATGCTGGTAAAGAAGCAAGGAGTTGTAATCATTAGGGCTGTGCGAAGCTTCGAGTAGTGATTCGATTAGGAAGAGATTTGGCCTGATTTGGTGGCTGAATCTCTGAATCCAAATTGAATTGGGGGACCAATTTAAAGGTCCGAATCGATTCAAAGCTGTCCGAAATTTCGGCAGAAATTCAGAGAGCTTTGATGATTCGGGCAGTCCCTGGTGGCTGCAGCAGAGAGCTGTGTGCGGGCCGGGAGCGACCCGAGCCCTTTTCGCGCTGCACGCGGGCTGTGGCCAGCAGCCCGGGCACGCCGGGGCAGAGAGGGAAGGCCTTCGAGCTGGAATTAGGCACGGACGCGTAGCGGTAGTTTAAAAGATTGTTTACTTACACCGAGATGGCAGTGGTGTAGGCTAGAAAGCTTGATTAAGTTGCAGTTACAGACAAACAACACAGACGGTCTCGTGGAGGTGGCTAGGCTCCACAGTGCAGAGCTCCGGATGCTCTGGGTGAACGAGCCACCAAAATAGGAATCGTAAATACGTCTTATAAAAGTTGCGTTCGAAGACGGGAAGAGGTGGGCGGTGGATCAGGTCGCCAAGCTCCTCTGGATCTCACACAGGGTTTCTATTACCC